TTAACGAGAGCATAGAAATGAGTAAATTTAGAAAAGGTTTCGGACTTAGAATGCATCAAGTAGAGCCACGTAAATTTTGAGAAATCGTCGACAAAGATTACATAGTATTTAAACCCGTTTAACGATTGAAGAGGCGCGGGGCCCCAAACATCAGAATGAATCAATTGAAAAGCTTGCGAAGAACTAGATGTACGTTTATTAAAAGGGAGTTTATGGCATTTAGCCATGCTACAAGAATTGCAATGAAAATTATTAGTATCAATATCTAGTGACGGGATCAGCGGATGAAGTTGCCGAAGAACGTCTGTGTGTGGGTGACCCAGCCTTGCGTGCCAGAGGAGGGTAGAGGTCTGACGAGCAAGATGAGCGGAAGGACGGTCCGGTGACACGTTCTGTAGACGGTAGAGGCCATTATGTAGTTGACCAAGAAGAAGCGGGCGGTGATCCTGACCATCCTTTATAACAAAGCCATGTTCGTCAAACGAAATAGAGACTTTATTGTCTTTGGTTAGTTTTGAAATAGAGATAAGATTATGAGTGAGATTAGGAACATGAAGTAGATTGCGTAAGTGAAGCTTACGAGCCGAGTCGGGAATGGGAAGGAGGCCTTGACCGGAATGTTGTATGGGGAGAGATGCTCCATTGGCAGTGGAAATGGTGTCCGAACCTTGGTAGCTGGTACCTTGTTGAAGGTTGCTTAAGTCGGGTGTCAGGTGACTGGATGCACCTGAATCAAGGATCCAGTCCTTAGTGGAGACGGGATGTTGTTGAGAGAGCAGTGCGCGTTGAGGAGCAGAGGTGGTCGGTGCGTATTTTGGATTGTGCCGATGCCAACAGTTCAGCGCGATGTGGCCTAATTTGCCACAAATTTGACATGTTGGACGATCGGTCTTGGAGATGAGCTGGTTTGGATGGGAATGAGGAGCGTAATCGGAAGTTGAACGAGATTCATTCTTCCGATTCTTGAAGTTGCGATTTGCACCATTGCTGCGATTGGAGCTGGTCCGGGAAGTGTAAAATGCAGGATTGTCCGTGGTTGCGGTAGCTTCTTTCTGATGTTCGCGTTGCATCGCAATTTCCTCGCTGCATAGCAACGAGTAAAGTGTATCAAGATCAATAGGGTGTAGAGATGTTCGGATAGAGGTTTTGAACGAGTTATAGGAGGACGGGAGGCCATTCAAGATATAAATGATAATATCTTCTGTGTCGATTTTAGAACCCGACACGGCGATGTTGTCGACTAGGTTCTTGATCTGCATCAGATATTGCTGCATAGATGAGTTGTTCATCTGAATGTTATGCAGTTCGTTCTTGAGTTGTATAACTCGAGAGCGAATGTTGGGTTGCATCCTTCGTTCAAGAATTTGCCAGACATCATGCGCTGTGGAGGCCGTCAAGACATAAGGAAGAATAGAGTGAGAGATTGTAGAAAACAGCGCCGAAATCAGGTTTCGGTCGATCAGGGTCCAGGTGAAGAAGGCTTCGCTGGATTGATCGGTAGGACAAGAAGCTGTTCCGGTCAGGAAGCCGGCGAAACCGTTCGCCGAGAAGTGCTGTAAGATCTGGATGCGCCATATGTGATAATTTTCGGGAGACAGAGAGGTAGGAACGAGTGTCTTGAGGTTGGAGATCAGAAACTTCAAGGGCGCCGGAGCAGTGTAGTCGGAGGTATTGCTGGAGGGAAGGCCAGGGGCGGAGGTGGGCGAAACAGCTGATTCTTGATCAGCCATGGAGCCGTCTTTGCTCTGATACCATGACAGGAAAAGAAGAAGAGGGCGTACAGGACGAAGCAAGGAAAAGGAAATATAATTCTGTGTATTACTTAAGCAGTAGGTACAGTGGATATAAATAGAAATGAGGAAAACAAGAAGACATCTAATAATTACAAGTATGCCCTAGGACTGTAAAGAGCCGTTAGCTCTTCTTATCCCCCCGCAAACTGAGCGCACATTACTGGGAGAATCAGTTTGTCACGGAGATTTTGAAATCTGGTAATAGGCAGAGGTTTAGTAAAGATGTCGGCGAGCTGATCGACGGAGCTGATGTGTTGTAGCACATATTAAAACTATTTTTATAATGTTAACAATAAACGAGTTTGAAGAAATAAATAAAATTATACAATTTTTCAAAGATTACCTAAAGTAAGAAAATGACATAGCCACTAAAAGATTAGGCTATGTATCTGAAAATCTCAATTCAATAATTGTACTGAATAATGAGGTATCAATTATATTTATTAAACTAAAAAAAGTGTCTGAATATCCTTACAAAAAAGTGATTAAAGACAAATCTCAAAGCACTTGCATGCACTTTATGATTAGTGATGTTGTGTCCTGAAATATTTGCGACGGTAAAGAGATCAAGAGTGTAATGTCTTATCTTTGAATGAAGATCTAGCACATAGATAGATAGGAGAGAGAGGGGTGCACAAATAATAAGAGACACCAATATTTTTAATTGAAAACCCCTAAAAATGGGAAAGATCATGGGGGTTATGCCCAGTTAAAAATGATTCCACTAGAGTTTCTAGTTGATTATAAAGGATTACATTCTTCGGAGGGAGGGCCTTGGCTCAATATAGTAAGTATACATCATATAGACCATATTACATGACGAGAGTTGGGGAAAATCAAGTGACATAAGAATTGTTCTCAAGAGAATGTTGGCCTGTTCATTTGGTCGGTAAGACCATATTTGACAGACGATGGTGGTTGGAGGGACTATAGTCGGATGACAATAGAGGTCACGGATCCATAGTGTCACACTCCAAGGTCTATATTAGAAGAATTACACATGTCTTTTATTTTAACAATTTAACTAGAACTTATCAATAAACAATATTATATTTTTATCTTGTTCAGAATCTCATATTATATGATCCTTAGTCTTTCCTGAAAATATATAAAATCACGTAATGAGCATATAGCTCAGCAGGTAACTAAAATCTTACAACTAAAATCAATGCAAGATAAAAGTGAATAATATGCTATAAATCATATAAATATATATATATATATATATATGCATTAATGTCTGTCCTGATTATTTGTATCCATTTATTATTCTATAATTTATCACATCTCAATCCATTAAATCACCAACCACATTATTAGTAACAATAAACAATACTAATATCAGTAACAATATTAGTATCATGATTAATAACATTAAATAGTGTTAATGGAAACAAACAATATTAATGTCGGTCACAATATCAATACAATATTCATTGCAGTGTCGGTATCAATATTCATATATTCAATAAGTGTATCTTAAGAGTATCTTGCTCCTACTCTTATGACTCTCAATCAGTTACCTCTTATAACTCCTAATTAATATACTCCCTATAACTCCCCTTAAATTACGTGAATTAATCACCCCGATTTCATATAACTCCTAATCAATCTCCAGCTCCTTATGACTCACAATCAATAAATCATGTGTATCAGTAGGGCATCACGTAGAGTTATCATATCATATATTTGATATCATTCAACAGTTCATTTAAAATGCAAGAAAAATATATCAAATCATTCACAATGATCAAATCTATAAGATATCCAAAATTGCACGGTGAAAGCTTATGAAATCAAGAGATAATGCATTTTTGACAGATTTAGGAGATGTAAGATTCATAAAAATTAAAATCATTGAAAATAAAAATAAGATATTAGTCACTTATAATTTCTCTCTCATCTTTCTTCGCACCGCAACGCTCCCCAAATCAGCGCTCTAGTTCAGAATTTTTTTCCACATATTTTAGTTATTACACGCAATCGACGGGCGACGGAGGTTAGAGAGACTATAATGGGCGGGTGATAGTGGTCAAAAGGACTGAAGTCGGGTGACGATGATCAGAAGGACTGTAATTGGGTGACAATGGTTGGAGGAAGGCTTGTTAATAGATTCCATATGGAGGTTAGTGGTCATTATCGGTCGGTGGTTCATTAGCAGCGGCCTGAAGGTGCATATTCGTTGGTGGTGGTGCCGTGGTGGTGCTCCAGGATTCTTAAAGATCTAGAGTTTTTCCCTTTAATATTTATAGTTTTTTAGGAGTAACATGACTAGTAATTAGAAAAAAGATCAATTGCAAGTTGAGAGTGTTCTAATGGATGACCGATATAAACTCCCTCAATCATAGTTCATTTATCGAGCATTTTAAGTGCCTTACTGATGTCAAAATTTGGCAATCTTGAGTTTATTAAATTCATCTCGTCGAGCTGCTCGATTCGACTATAAGCATGTCACATTTAGATATCATTTGGTCATCCAATTAATGCACTAAAGCTTCCTAATATGCTTTGATCATTTTGATTTGGACTCATTGAGCTCGGATTGGATCGAATTTGATGTTGTTGGGTTTGTCTCCCTTGAGATGTTCAATTTGACTATAAGCTTGTTGAGATCGGATTTTAGATTATCCCGAATTTAATTTTAAAAGTATCTAATTCATATTTGCATAGAGATTCACGACCGATCTTAGCGATTTTTGGTGATGTATCAAGTACAATACTAATTACAATGTATTACACTCATCTAAATCAAATTCAGATGTCCAACGTCCTTAAATTTCATCATTATTAAAACTTTAACCATAATATTTTGATATAATTTTTTGCCTCATAAAATTTTGATGAGAGGAAAATTTAACTTCAAAATTTTGATAATTTTTGATATGCCATTGAAATTCATTTCTAATTTATCCTAACAAAAATAATATACTTCATAGCACAAATAAGTTATTAGAAAATCATCAAAGGCAATAAATATGAATTAAACTATTATTGTGAATATCTATATTTATTCTTGAATTTAATAGTTGAAAATTGGAGTGAGAACTTTTATAAATAAAAAAAAATCAAATATTCCATTTTTATGCTAAAATATTATAATTTGCTATATATGTCGGGATTAGAAAAATTTATATTTGATGATACATATTGTTCTTAAGGAGCAAAATATAATCATAAATTAAATAATTAAGTTGTTTACGTTAATCCAAAGTTCTTAGCCCTTGTCGGGATTATTAGTCGGCTCTCAACGAGGTTTTGTTCTACTTGCGATTCTCTCCGGCCACAAAGAGGTTTCAACGGACCAAACTTGCCGCCGGCGTAGCAGAAGCAACCGACGCATCCCTTTTATCGCCGGCGCTTGACTTGTAGGCGTTTCTTCCCTCTTTCTATCTATTAGTTCGTCTAGCTTGTTGCAAGCAGCTTTGAAAATTGGGAATTGCCTCGAGCCCTAGATCCCAAATCCCAATGCCTTTCCATTTCCCGCCCGACTTATTTTTTTTGCTATGATGTCTCAGCTTCAGTTCCTTCAGTGCATAGGCTTATGCAGTATTTACTTACTGATTCGTCATTGTTCGATAATAACTTTCTGTTATGCTTTATTTGTTCCATAATTTTGGCATTTTCTTTATGAATTGCATCCCCTGTCAATTATTGATTTCATTTGCTGTAAATTTTGAATGTATATTTTGTGTATGGTTTGCATACTGATACGCCTATTTCGAAAATACCTAGAATCAAGCGTAAGTTCACTCTTCGAGCGAGTGCCAGCTGCAGAAAACAAAGAGAAGATTAAAAAAAAAAAACATATATTATTCTGCATGTATCCTAGTTCTTAGCATCTCTAGGAGAGGTATCTTGCACAGGCTTAACAGGAAGTGGTTAAAAAAAACGATGCAAAAATAGAAAGCTATTAATATTCTGACAAGTTCCTTCTCATGATCCTGTACAGTTTTCCCAGCGCCATTTTCTCCTTTACAACGTAATCTTTCAGCCAACCAGGAATTCTCCTTAGTAGTTTTGGTTTTTCTATGGGTCACCCTTTGCTCTTCAGCCTCTTCCTTTGTGGGCTCGGTTACTCTGGTGTTAATATTCTCTGATCTTGGATGTATTGACTGAAGGCATATAGTGATGCAACCAAGGAATCCTAAGCTAAGTAAGAGAACACTAGGTATGCAAAAGAAAAAAAAAAAATACAAACTAGAATTGCAATAAAAAAAAACCTTCTTATCAATATGACAAATACAAACACTAAACATAACACAAAAAAGCTTTCAACTTCTAATAGAAACCACTTACAAATTATCTTAGAACAAGACACCACACAACTTAAGACTTACAATAATTTAAGAGAAGAAAGATACATGTGCGGTGGGAACCATGGAGAGAGAAGAAGAGGTAGAAAACTGAGGCGAAGTAGTAGAGGGAAATGAGAAAGGAGGCTGCTTGCAAGCTAGGAAAAGCCACAGGTTTTACAAACAAAAATTCATCTTTTTCCACTCCTAAAACTATAGGAAAACAACCCCATTTATAGGGGAAAAACAACCAACCACTCACATTAATGAGCCACCCCAAACATCCAATAGGAGCCAAAAAAAAACTTAGGAAATAACATAGGGAAGGGGAACGACCAGCATAGGAAACAAGCAAAAAGCAATCCTAAATAGTATAGGGAAGGGGAACAGCCAGCACAAGAAACCATCAAAAAGCAAATTCCAAGCATTTGGGAAATCAAAACCTGCATAGAAACTCAACAGGAAATCCAACAACCACCAAACAATTTGAATAAAGCATAGAATATCAAACAGTCAGCTTTACTCACATCATATAGGTACGGTTGTATCATTCCCATTATGTAGAAAAAATACCATGTCCTCAAGGTGAAATGTGGGATAGAGGTGGAAAAAATCATGGAAGTATTCTCGGGTGGAATTTTTTGGTGTACAGTTGGTCCACTGAACGAGAATTTGAGAATCTCTTCGTCGTGTCGTAGAACTGATCTTATTGCACAATTTTTTGCTGGAAGAAGGGAAATTGGTTGATTTTTTATACTGGCCATGGGCTGTAAAAGAATTTCAGCAAACTGCTATTCTCGATAAGGTTTGAGAGCTAAAACATGGAACACATGGTGTATTTTATTATGTTTGGGTAAATTTAGCTTATAGGCGATCTATCCAATATGCTGTCATACATGGAAAGTTCCATAATAGCATTTGTAGCTTTTGGGAGAAATAGAGCCACCTTGGACTGCTAACATGGTTGCAGATGAACTGTGATCACTTCACCAATAAAAAATGGAAGCTCGCCATGCTGCCTTTTGTGCCATGAGATGTTGTGCTTGATATAGTTTTCTCGTAAGGTACTCAATAGTTTGTTATGCTCCATTAACTCCTCATTTAGGGCCTGAATGGAAATAGTTCCTGATGTACAAGCCATAAATAATATAGCAGTTTGGCATTACTAAATTTAACAATAGTACCAAATGATACACCTAGTTCAAAAATACCTGGAATCAAGTATAAATTTACTCTCTTCTTATGAGTGCTAGCTCTAGGAAACCAAGAGGAAAAAAAAAACCAAATTGCTATTTCATCGCCCTCTTTTTTTGCCATGATTTTGTATATATTCTAGTTCTTAGCATCTCTAAGAGAGGGTTGTCGTACAAGCCTATTGGAAAGCGATTATAGCAAAAATGATGCAAAAATAAAAAGCTATCAATATTGTGATATATTCCTTCTTATTCTCCCTGATTTACATAACGTCTTTCCTCTTTTACACTGATTAATCTTTTAACCAACCAGGAGTCCTCTTATGTTGTTTTGATTTTTCTATGATTTGGGTCATCATTTGATCTAGTTGTATGGGCTCGGCTGTTATGGGGTTCATATTCTCTGATTTTGGATCAATTGATTCAAGGCGAATGGGTAGGTTTGTTTCATGTACTGTTTCTTTTAAATATTTTGTTTAATTTTTAGTCGGAGGCAATGCTTTTGTATTATGCTTCTTACTTATTGATGTTGCAAACATAATTATATTTGTTAGTTGAAAATTGATACGATTGTTGTGGGTTCTTCTAATTTATTTGAATTATGTCACTTTTCTAGGAGTTCCAGTCTCTGAAGGGGGATAGCTATGTGGTGAGAGAGAAATTAGTTTATCAATATTTTTGTCCTTATTTTCTTGATACAAAATATAAGAGTTTAAATTAGGAACATAAGGTTGGATAGCTCAATTAAGCTAGATGCACATTGCAATAACATACTGTTTTCAAAATTTATTCTTTGAAAGTGTTCAAATTTATTCCTAGGAATTGAGAGATGAGTAATAGATTAGAAATAATGTGCAACAAAGCCAAACATAGTATTTATCATTATTTATTTGGAGGTTTTACATACATATATAGCACATAATTCTTATGTATTTACACATCTAACACCTAAAATTTAATATTTGCTTATATAACACCAAAATCTTTAAATTACATAAAAATACCACTAATCTCAAATTTTTAAAGTGAAATTTACCTTTTCATGTATATGTTTTAATGTGATTTACATACTAAAGTGATATACTAATTAATATGAAAATTTAAGTATTAAATATGTAAATGCATAATAAATATGTGGTATGTATGTAAATCTCTCTATTTATTTTTATTTTATGTCGAAGATAATGGTTGCTTGGTATTTTATTTAGACATGATTGAAGCATGACTTAGCTTTAATTCCTTTAAAGAAATTTGTAAGGACTTTAAATTTTACTTTATGCAATTTGTAGGATCCTAACTGGTGCAACAAAAACTTGCTGGTTTATCAAAAAAAATTTGTACATTATTCGATGAAGCAAAAATGAATAACTTTGAAACCTTTGATGCGGTGCTTAGAATGCTTTTTTCTAGTATATTTGTGGACTTTGAGGGAGCCTCTCGAGGAAGTGTTGTGTTTTGTATAAAGACCAGTGGGTCGTAGAAGTCAGCAATGTAGAAGGGAGGCTCATGAGAATCAATGAAAGGTAGATGAAGGGGCTGTTGGATTTAGCCTAAATCATGCCAAACAACAAAAATGTGAACTTTAAATTGTACATATTCTTAAATCCCATTTCTTCTTAGTTTAACCTTAAGTTCCAGATTTAATAAATTTGGGTGTTTTGCAAATTTATGGGATTTTGCCAAAGGATCGCATGAAAATGTATTGAGGGTTACCTATGAGCTTTTGTTGCTTTTTCTAACCGTCGATCAGAAAAAAGTGAGGTGGCGAAGAAGAGGTGCATCCGATTTGATAAACCCTCTGTTGAACAAGTTTTCATTGTGTTTCACTATAGCTAAGAGGAAGAGTAGAAGATGCCGATGGAGCTGGAGATGTTGGAGGAGGTAAAGAAGCTTTGTTGTGATGAGCGACTATTGAAGTTTTTGTCCGATGGTGCCCTTTGGATCCGATCTGCTATAGTTGATTATTGCAGATTAGTGTGGTAATAAGGTAATTGTTTTGTTTATTCATTATTTTGTATCTATTGGCTTAGGTATTTGATTATTTTACAAAAGCCTTTACCTACCTTAGGTTAATGATATTATGATTTGCGATAATAAATGTTTTCAATAAAAATAATTAATATTAATTAAATAATGATATTATTTTTTATTTAATGACCATATAGAAGTTATTGTATTAAATTATTTTAATAATTTATTAATTAATAATTAATTTGAATGCTATTTTAGTTAATTATGATTGCAGGTAATGAGATTGCATGTTTTATAATTATTAATCATTATTATGAAAATCCTATTTGAGTTAATAAATTTAAATGTTGAACTAAATAGTAAAATTGTTCATCAAAATTTAACTGTTCATTAAATGTTGAACTAAATAGTCTTATCATGACAAACTATTTTAACGATTTAACTACCTCATGATTTAAATTAGTTAAAATAACATTAATAATTAATAATAATTAATCAAAATTATTAACTAAACAATGATATTATTTTTTATTTAATGATGACATAAAAGTTGTTGTATTACATTAATTTTAATAATTTAGTAACTATTAATTAATTTGAATGTCATTTAAGATAATTATGATTCCATGTAATGAGATTACATGTTTTATCATTGTTAATGATCATTGTTAAAATTCTATTTGAGTTAACAGACTTAAAATTTGATTTAAATAGCCAAACAACTTATCAGGATTTAACTGGGTTTAATCTATGTTATGCCAAACAACTTTTAGGATTTAACTACCTCATGATTTACTAAATCCTGATTTATAAGATTTACTAAATACTACTTGAGTTAAATCCCATCCGTTACCAAAAAGCCCTTAAGTATGTGTCATAGAGTTTTCTTTTGAATGATACAAAAAATTAGGTATAGTTTATTTAGTTACGAGGGATCGAAGTCTCCGACATGCCCCCATATTGTTACATATTGAGTACTTCCCCCATTGTTGTTACATATTGAGTATGATACCCCGAGAAAACTCTCAATTTAAGGATATCTATTCATGTCTTATATTGAACATAAGAATGAAGTTCTATTGTACAATCCTTGCAAAAGAGTGTCTTAGGCCAAACGAGGTTTGTGCGCTTAAAGGTTAAACAACACAACATGCAAAGGTGTTAACAAATTGACATTGTAATGGGCATCTATCCTCAAATAGTTCAAGTGACAATGTATTAGTTTAGAGAGGAATACTTTTCTTCTATTTTCATTTAAAATAATTCCTAAAATATTCATCTAATTTGGTATAAAATCTCTTATGTAATGTTAATAAAATGATATGTTCTTTAGGCGTCATCTAATATGGTCCTTTGTTTTACATTAGCAAGATATGATTATTTGGTTTTATTATATATGAGTAATGTGATCTCAAGTATTTCCTATCAATTTTTGGAAAACAGCGAGAATTCTCCACAAAACTCCACACAAAACCACTAAACAGTAGATAATTTGTATTATTTGATGAAAGCGGAACGGAAAATATCAAGATACAATTGATCTTCTATTCGAGAGGATGATCTTTCTCTCCCAAATCTCTGGACGTCGCTAGAGCCCAAAGAAATTAAGAGATCTCAAATTTCAGTCAAATTCAAGATGCCCTGATCCTTTGAAAACCAACCAACTATTTAATGCATACAATTCAAAAGGAAATCTCTAAACAGTCCCTACATCCAAGTTTCCCTCTCAAATCCCTAAAAAATCCTTCCAAAACAGCTCCCTAACCCTTGCGGCTTGCGTTCGGCGCCTACAGGAGGTGGACATTTCCGTCTCTGTTCGCGTAAGCCGGTCCCTTTGGACCGGCTGGACCGGTCTAACATAATGACTTTTTTTTTCTTTGTTATTTTATTGGAACTTATTTTTCAAGTATTAATTGGTATGAAAACTTGCGAACAAAAAGGCAAGTGAAAACCCATTAATTGCCGAGGAAATATAACTGGAATGAAGTTCTCAGTTAAATAATTTGAAGATGGCCTTGAGATTGGCCTAAGAAAGGCACGTGATGAAGAGAGTATTCATTAAGCATACTATACACAGTTTATTATCACATTAGTTGCTTAAATTTGGAACTTTGGTGGAAGATAGTATTATTTGAATCTTGTTTGATACGGTTAAGCTTTTATTGTTTCCTGTCCAGCAAATGAATTCAAAACTTGGCTGTATGCGTGGTAGAGCATTTTAAGCTCTGCTGTTGAGAAGATCAGCGTCTAAATTGAAAAACTATTTAAGTATAAAATGCTTTTCTGTACAGTTAATTTATGCATGCAATCTGATTTCCTTTCTTTCATCAGGTTTGAAGAGCTCGGATTTACATTAAAAAAAATGCTTGCTGTGCCAAACCAAGGAGACAATGCTCTGGCTTTTCCTAGACCTAGGCCAGGGTCTGAGCTGGCTCTCCATGCACCATTTCCTGCTGGAAAGCATCGCACCTCTAGCCTGGAATCACCCATCATGCTCTTAACTGGCCATCAGAGCGCCATTTACACGATGAAGTTTAACCCAGCTGGGACTGTTGTCGCCTCAGGTTCCCATGACAAGGACATCTTTCTATGGTTTGTACATGGCGACTGCAAGAACTTCATGGTCCTCCATGGCCACAAAAATGCTGTGCTTGATCTCCAGTGGACTTCTGATGGGTCTCAGATAATCTCTGCAAGCCCCGACAAGACTCTTCGAGCTTGGGACGTCGAGACTGGAAAGCAGGTTAAGAAGATGGCAGAACACTCCTCGTTTGTTAACTCGTGCTGTCCGTCCCGTCGGGGACCTCCGCTGGTTGTCAGCGGTTCAGATGATGGCACAGCCAAACTGTGGGATCTCCGGCAGCGCGGCGCCGTGCAGACATTTCCAGACAAGTACCAGATCACTGCAGTTAGCTTTTCTGATGCATCTGACAAGATCTTCTCCGGTGGGCTGGACAATGATGTGAAGGTGTGGGATCTGCGGAGAAATGAAGTTACCATGACTCTCCAGGGGCATGGTGACATGATCACTGGAATGCAGCTGAGCCCAGATGGTTCATACCTCCTAACCAATGGAATGGATTGCACTCTGAGGATATGGGACATGAGACCATATGCACCACAGAACCGTTGTGTGAAGATATTTTCTGGACACCAGCACAACTTTGAGAAGAATCTCCTCAAGTGTGCGTGGTCGCCGGACGGGAGCAGGGTCTCGGCCGGGAGCTCTGATAGGATGGTTTACATCTGGGACACCACATCAAGGAGGATCCTGTACAAGCTCCCGGGTCATAATGGATCAGTGAACGAAACAGCTTTTCATCCCACTGAGCCTATCATTGGCTCTTGCAGCAGCGACAAGCAGATTTATCTTGGGGAGATTTGAATGAGATACTGATATCCATTGTTCAATCATGCACTGGCGTTGTAATTGGTTGTTTCCAAAGCTGATAAGGTAACTCGAACAAATTATTTGAACTGAAGCTTTAGTATTAAAAAATTTAGTTGTTTGGCGCAGTCCTGCATGTTTATTTTGACCTATCATTGTTATATGTGTTTCCATCTTATTACATGAAAAATTAACGTTTCTCTCTTAGTTGGTTATACTCACCACAACATTTATCAGTTCTCTTTGTATTTCCATGCTTAATCACATGCATAATTAGGATCTAACTCTATTATATAGGATGGTGCTTACCGCGGCTAATGATATTGCATAACACAAAGTATTTCCATGCTTAACAAAGTATTTAAGTTAATTAGGTTCAGCCAGCAAAACATCATTAGTAGATCATGATTTGCTAACTCTATTATATCTTATCTTATTACGTTAATGCAGTCTTAGAAGGATGGTACTTAACCAACATTCTATAAATTAGCTCTAATTATATGACGATGTGACCTTACAAAACTCATTCTTTTCCTAATCTAATTTCCCCATTATCGCTCATATAACCTTATTGAACAACAATAACACTTGTTAGCTCTAAGATAGAGTTATTTATATACCTACTATTAAATAGTTTGAAGGCTGAGGCAAGGCTCGGTGTATCTTACATTTGGAGGTTAAGGTTTCATTTGGGACGGCTTTATTATTAATTCTTAAAGCATCTTTGTTGTACTAGAAAGCATCTCTAAGAAGCAGTAAGAAAGCCGTCATGAACGAACCCTAAATTTTGTTTGATGAAGCTGATTTTTTTTTTCATTTGATGAACCCTAAATCATGTGTATAATTATTTAATGATGTCATAAAAAGAAAAAAAAATATTTTAATAAATTGAACAAATGATTAACATTTTGTTTGGAATAGCTTTCTTACTGTTTTCTAAAATAATTTATTAGTACATTTTTTTTTAATTAATAAAGCTTGTATTAGGAAGATATTTCCATATAAATTTTCCCAAATTAGCCTTCTTTCTTTATAATTTTTTCTCATATTTCTCTAATGAATTATACCTTCTTAATTCCTCTTCTAACATAATGAATTATTAATTTCTTGGACCCCACAAGGGGGGCCAAAATCTCTTTGGATTTGGTTTCAGGTTTTGCCCCCTCCATTGCTTGTTGGGCGGGATTGCAATAATGATATCATAAAAAGAAAAAAAAAAGATTTTAGTAAATTGAACAAATGATTAAGGTTTCATTTGGGATAGTTTTCTTACTGGTTTTAAAAATAGTTTTTCAGTATAATTTTTTTAATTAGAAAATTTTATTTTATGAAGCTGCTTTGAGAAACTGTCACAAACGAAGCCTAAAATTGAGAATATTTGTGGGTCTCCGAAAGGATTCTGCTCGTGTGGTTCGAATGCAAAGAATACGATCACACTGTCTCGAAGGACAAAATGGTCGTAGGCCTTTACAATCGACACAAGCAGGCCGATGGAAGAGCAGATGGAGTTATAGATACGATTAGCCATGAAGGATAGCGGGTTTTCACCTACGCACCTCGATGGATAATAATATCTATAACCCTAAATTCACGAGATTTCCCCCATTCGATACATCAGCTCGAATGAGGTTTATTTGATTGTGGGGATCGGTTTCCTACGGGCGCAAGCCCCCGTAGTTAATTACATCTTAGACCTCGATCTAAGAAGACTCTCGATTAAGGACGTTAGATTATCTCCTCTAAAGTAGGTTTAGTGCAAGGGATTTCTAGGTCTTCCTAATCAAAGGGGAATGTCCCAACTTGGCTCGATCAGTCATACAAGGTTCAGTCAACATCCGGCCGGCTAAGAGAAGTGAGAACTGAAAAAAAGAAAGAGGGACAACGCACTCAGACATGCACGAGAGAAAGAGGGAGGTGGCGTCATCTATGTGACGCAGATGGGTAGGATTTATAGTCTCCGAGAGAATGGAGAACTTACCTACCATTAAGGTGTACAGAGGTACACTCGTACCTCTCACCTTTAGATCCTAAATCTATAAAAGATGTAGTATCGTACACACGATACTAACATCTACGACCTAGCTAATGCAATCCTGGACTTATATCCCTGCCTGAAAAGGGAAGCCAGCTAAAATCCTAATCACAACCAATCGTCCTATATGTATGCAAGATAGGAGGCTCTATCCTAAGGAATCAAGGATTAATAGTTCAGAAGACTTAAATCAACGACTCTATAATATGCAGACGAATAGACCTATCACACTAAGATTATGACCGTTATAATTATATTTCATTGATGATTCTCATAAGAGAAGTAGATTTCAACCCTGATTTTATCATAGGTTGATTTGACTAACTATGATCCATGCAAGTTTATTCCTCACATCATTGCATTTAATATATCTCATTCTTGTCTTGCTTGTAAGCCTATAATTCAATCTTGTCATCATTAACAATTTATTCAATAATTTGCAAAGTAGTTACATGCATGCATGCATAATAAAATTATATTAATATAGTTATTTTATTTTTTATATTTAAGAAGTTATATTATCAAAATTAAAATACTATAACTAATATTTAAAATAAGAGATATATAATAGATTAAAATATTCGGACATAAAATTTGTTCTTTCATGCTAATCCCTTAGGCCTTAGCCACATTTGTTTATTATAATCATAGCTTTATTAATTATAATTAGTCACTAACTCCATTGACTAACCTTGCAATGTTTATAAGATTAAGGGATAACCAAAGCAATTAGAACAAAATCATTAATTTTTATTTAAAAACCACAAATTAAAAAATTAAAGAGAGTGTTAATGAATGATATGCTTAATTTGCAATTTTTTTTAATTTTAAAAAAAATGAATGGTTAATTTTGTAATTTAAAGAAAAAGATTAGATAGGGATGGTTGACCAAATGATGCTCTAAAGTCTTAGCCATTGAAAGGAATGGCAACAAATCCAATCTCTTAACAAAATAATTTATCGTTAAATTAATGATTATCCAAACCCTTAAAAGATAATTAATGATAGAGAGGTTAGGGTGGGGTATATATGCTTTTTGCTGACGTTCATAAAAATAAATAAAAAATTAATTAATTAAAATAAATTTATAAATGGAGAGGGTTAGTTTAATTGAGTTGTTAAGATTTTTTTTTCATAACATAATTAATTTTTTTAAAATTTTTAAACTTTTATGGAGAAGAAGACAATCAGATTCGGTGGGTGGGAACCAAAGATATTTTACTACGTAATTATTTGATTGATTAATGATAGATAAGATTAAAATATTTATATATAAATAAATATAAATAAATGATAATATTTTATTAAAAGAACATCATTATTGATGCTACATATTTGATCCTTTTGAAGCTCTAAAATCTAAACCATATAATAATTGAGCATGCATGCATCTTTCTATCTTTCCTTACCAACTAAATAAATATATATTACTCGTTTAATAAATTTTATTTTAAAATATTTAGATTATTTCATGTTTAATAATTAAAATTTATATTATTACATTTAGGTTAAAATAAATCATATTACATACTATTTTATAAGGTTCTTAATATTATTAATAAATTATTTCAAAATATGAAATTAATTTAAACACATATAGGGTGACAATAACAATAATATCACGTCTTTATCCCATCAAATATTATGAGCTATATGAATCATTTTTCTCCATTTTATCCTATGAAAATTTAAAAGTCAAATTCTTATTTAAATCTAATAAAAAAATCATTTCTAATACTTTGCGACCAATTTTTTAAAATCTTTTTTTTTTTTAATTTTTCTTAACATAGGGCAATATCTCATACATCTACTCTCCTACCTAAGTCATTAAAAACCAACATCTTTTATGACCAAACTATCTAGGACGACTCTCTAATCTTATTCGCCACTGGAGCTACTCGAATCCTTTATGGTATATATATCTCTAAAAGTAAAGCCGCTCATCATCAAATCATCATGATCCCTAAAATACTTAACTTAATTTTATGCTTCTCTTTTAATGGAACACATAGGGGTGTAAGTGAGCCAAGCCGATTCGAACTCTACTCATTAAAAAGCTTGCTAGTAGAGCTTATCAAGCCACAAGTTCGAGCTTGTATATTAAATAGGCTAAAGCTTAAGCACAATCATGGCTCAGCTCGAAAGCTCGTTAAGCCGCTAAAAAAAATTAAATATATTTAATATATTTATATATATTAATTTTAATAATTTCAAATAATTATATAAAATAAAAAAATTCTAAACATATGAATTTTTTAATTTAAACAAAAAATCTAACTCAACAATTTCATCGAGTTAGAATTTTCTAAATGAGCTTGAGCAATCCAATCAAGTTTCAGCTTATGAACTTTTTAACGAGTCAAGCTCAAGCTCAAATTAAGTAACACGTAAACAAACTTAGCTCAATTAAATAAATACTCACTCCATTGGACTGATTTGCACCACATATAGGGTACAGTACATAATATTCAGATTTATAAAGGCTTGTGCGAATAAACTTCACCACTACAAATAAACGTCCAGTAAATTAAAAATTATATAGCTAAAGAAACAAGGACCAAGTTGAATCCGGTCACCTAGATCTTTGACT